GAAAGAGTTTGGAGTAGATGCCACGGTCAGGAACTTGGAGAGGAAAGATGAGGCTCAAAGAGCAGCATGGGAAGGGGTAGAAATATTAGGAGACTAGCTGCCTTCATTCCAGATTTTCCCAGCATTACCCCATATTCCACTCCCTGTCTCCACTTCATCTCTTGTCTAAGGCAGTAGCCTGCTCTCCCTGAGGCCTCATCCTCAAGTCCCTGGTAAGGAATCTCTTGGCAGGGACTCTAGGGCTGGGGAGCAAGAGGAAGCGACGGCAGAGACACTGGGACATTGAGAAGGAACAGGGCTGCAGCCAAACCAGGACTGTGGCTGAGGCAAGAATGTCTTTCAAGCGGCCAATGGGCATCTCCTGCTTTGTGGAGCCAGCTGGTACCCCTTTTGGAGGACTGGAAGAAACTGAAGTCCTCACACCTCACCAGGGTGGAGAATTGGGGGAGCTAAGATGTTGTCTCACAGCCAAACCCCTCTGTGCCTCAGTGTCCCCTAACATGTAGCCCATATATCTGGTCTCTCTTCAACCTTCTAGCACAGTGAGCAAAAGAAGATATGTAGATGTGGGGCATGGGGGCCTTTTAGAAACACAGAATACCCATAAAGCCCATCCTGCTGCTGCTATCAGGCCAGGGCCTCCTGAGATCACCATCCTCAGGAGCTCCTGCTACCCTTCCCTGGGTCAGCCTCAGGACATCCCAGGAATATCCTGGCTGACATAGATATGTGTCCATTAGTGAGAATCCCACCAAAAAAGATGTCCTTTAAAGCTGACCCTGGACAGTTCTCTGACTGGGGTCCTCAAAAGCCGATGTACCTAGTGCCTTCCTGGTAAAGCTGAAAAAGAGCCTGACGGGTTCCCAGACCTGCCTGCCCAGTTCCTAGCATGTGGTGTGTGTGTGACACCAATCCTTGAGGTAGGTCTGGGGACTTAAGGTTGCAGTGAGGGGCATGTGCAGTCACCTCTCCTGCACTGCTCCCCGAGGGCAAACCTGCTGCTCCCCCTGCCCACTTACCTCTCTCCGAGATCCTGTTGACCCCTGTAATGAAATGGACTTCCAAATCTGAGCCACCAAAAGCTTTCTCAAATCTGACCATGATAAGAGCCTTAGTCTTTCCCACCCAAGGTTCCCCTAGAGCCTCTGATCTACAAAGCAGAGGGCGGGCTGAGGCAGGTAGCTGCTGGGGCAGGAGCCCCATCCCAGCAGAAAGGAGAGGTAGAAACATGGAGTGGGAAGGGGAAAGTCAGAGACCCAGAGACACGGGAGGAAAGCACCCAGCACAGAGTGAGGAGCTGACATAAAAGCCCCCAGGAGCAGGAGAAGGGAAACAGAGGGGAGAACTGGCATTAGGGGGCAGAAACAGGCAGAGACCCAAAAAACAGAAAGGTAAAAAGACAAAAGGGAGAGAGAGAGGGGAACGCAGTATAAACAAAGAGAGGTGATGGAAAGAGAGTGGGCTAGGAAGGCAAAGGAAAACAGGAAAAGAAAGGAAGAAGAGAAAAGAAAAGGGGGAGGAGGAGGAGGAGGAAGAAGACAGATTTCCTACCTAAGAAAACCACTATGGGATTGGGCCCCAGAAAACCCCCAGACCAGGCCACATGCCCCGCCTTCTCCCCCTGACCGCCCCCTCCCCCTCTGCCCAGCCCTGCCCGGCTCCGTTGGTTTCCCTGCGGTCGGTTTATTTTTAAAAACGCCGACGCCGTCCCCCGCCCGGCCCTCACACTGTGGCCACAGGGGCCTCAGCCAAGCCCAGGGACCCCACCCAGCAGTGGGGAGGGAAGGAGGGGTGAAAGAAGGCAAGCAGTCCCAGGCCAACAGGAGACCCCAGACCTGGGGAGCAGAGGCCCCCAGGGCCCCCGAGGGCGGGGAAAAGGGAGAAAGCACCAGACCCATTCAGACTGTTACAGAGGCCAAGGGCTGGGCACCTGGCTGTTTCACCTCGGCCTCAGTTTCCTTTTCTTACTGCTTGTGCTCGCTCCCCTGAGAACTGGGGAGAGGGTCCTGGTGAGGGTTTCTAAATATGAGCCCGCATACCTGATCAAATGCATTACCTTTCCAGGGACTCAGGAGTCCCACTTTCAAGTTGTTTTTCCTCCTACCTCCACTCACCATCCGTTAAAAAAAAACAACAAAAAGGCAGGCTTAAAGTACAGAAAGGGGAGCTGTCCCAGCTCTCACCTAGATATGCAGCCGGGAAGGGAGCCCCTCTTCCCATGCTGTTCACAGCGCCCCCGGCTGACCTCCCACTGGAATGCTCACTGTGCATCTGAGGGCTGACTGGCCATGGGTTCTGAGTACCCAAGGTCTCGGTTTTCAACTCTCCGCTTTTTTAGCCTCCTCCCAAGTTGTTTAGTTCTCTCAACTTCTAATTCTCCATCCTCACGTAGCCCCCACCCCCATTTCTCCTTCCTCCCTGTTCCCCTGCATCTCATGCATCAAGCAGCAGCTGCTTCCCTCTCTGAACCCCAAGTTCTTCTCACTGCCAAAGAGCCCACCCATACCAGGCAGAGGGCTTCCTGATGGTAGCAGCTTGGGAGGGAAGGTTAAGGGCCCAGGTGCCCAAAAATTAGTGAAAGAGACAGAGGGACTGGAATGCCTTTGCATTGGGGCATCTCTAGCTCACAGGGAGTGAGGGACATAGAGGCCCACTTTCTATGACACCCTTTTCTTGCCAAGTGTTATCCCAGTCCGGTGTCTTTCCAGCAGGCCTTTGGGCCAGCCCTTCCCCCAGGAACCAGTGACACGCTGGCAACTCTGGCATGATGCCCGTGCCCACTGACACTGCCCCTGCCTTGGGTAGACCCAGGATTTCCATGCACCTTGGTCCTCTAGCTTCCTCAAGACCAACCACAGTGTTTTCAATGATGGCTCAATATAGAGTGAAATGGGGAAATGGCAGAGTGAGCAGCCTGTCCTCATCGCAGCAGAGGGAGAGCCTAACACCTGGGGATCCCTGACTGGATACAGAGCAGTGACAAGGACATGGTGTCCACCCCACTGGCTTGCATGTCATTCACTCAAACTCAGTCACAAACCACTACTCCCAGCCTTACAAACATACCATTCCTCATTTGGACTAAGGTATCCACTTGGCCTGGCTTATACACACATATACCTGTGTTCTCATAAAGCCAGCCATGCGTGCAGTCACTGGTTTACATTCTAACACTTACGCTCAGGCCAATGAACACAGGCGTTAAGATCCCGCTCCATCTCAAACACACCTCTCCTACAGGCTGAATGAGTCGGCTTCCTGTTTGGCCCATCACCCCTGGCACATGAGCTAGGGCACTGAGAACAGACATAGGGGATTCTGAGGGGCCCAGGAATATGGAAGGTTCAAGGCTACTGAAGGGGGTTGACTTTAAGGGAGGGTTCCCTGACTCTAAATTCCTATGGAGGGACCTAGAAGGCATGACAGAGATGGTGACAGAAAAACAAAGTCAGAAACCCGGAAGCAGGGAGAACTCAGGATGTTCAAACAGGCTCTGAGTGGCTCTGAGTCCCCTTTTCCAATTATGTGCATGAGTCCCCCAGAAGTCCTGG